AACGAGATATTACGACGCAGAAGCTCAATTGGCCAAGAGGGGTAGAATGGTGGAAAACGAATGAGTTTGGAAGCTGGCATCCAAAGAAAAAGGATGATGTACCGCCTTTGACTGTCCCAGATTTGGCTTACATTGAATTTTCTCGAGCCCCCACGGGCGATCTTCGCGGCGTAGTGATGAGCCATCGAACAATCATGCATCAGATGGCATGTCTCAGTGCTATCATATCAACAGTGCCGGTTGGAGGGCATGGTGACACTTTCAATCCTGAATTAAGAGATAAAAATGGAAGGTTAATGGCTGGCGGTAGCAGTCGCGGCGAGATCTTACTATCTTATCTAGACCCACGACAAGGTATTGGTATGATTCTGGGTGTTTTATTGACTGTATACGGTGGTCACACAACTGTATGGCTTGAAAGTAAGGCTGTTGAGACGCCTGGTCTCTATGCGCATCTCATCACAAAATACAGAGCAACCCTCATGGTAGCCGATTACCCAGGTCTAAAACGGGCAGCTTATAATTACCAGCAAGATCCAATGACGACGCGAAATTTCAAAAAGGGAATGGAGCCAAACTTTCAAAATGTCAGGTTATGTCTAATAGATACCTTGACAGTCGACAGCGAATTTCACGAAGTTCTAGCAGATCGATGGTTACGGCCAATGCGAAATCCTCGTGCACGAGAATTAGTGGCTCCTATGCTATGTCTACCAGAACATGGTGGAATGGTAATCAGTATGCGAGATTGGTTGGGTGGCGAAGAGCGTATGGGGTGCCCTTTGAAATTAGACATAGGATCAGATGGAGACTCTATAGAGGAAAAATCCGAAGAGAAAGAGAAGGCAACTGGTAACGGCTTTGGAAGTCTTATAGGAGGCGGAACAGTAGCTCCTGCCGAACAAAAAGGAAGAACAGAATTAAGCGAAGTTCTTCTTGATCGGGAAGCACTCAAAACCAATGAAGTTGTTGTGGTCGCTATCGGCGAAGAAGCACGCAAGAAAGCTAGTAGCGAGCCAGGGACAGTCCGTTGCGGTGCTTTTGGTTTCCCAATACCTGATGCAACCCTGGCGGTAGTAGATCCCGAAACTGGTCTTTTAGCCTCACCACATTCAGTGGGAGAAATTTGGGTAGACTCTCCATCATTATCAGGGGGCTTCTGGGCCTTACCAAAACACACAGAACAAATCTTCCATGCTCGACCATATAAATTCGAGCAAGGAGATCCAACTCCGATGATGGTAGAGCCAGAATTTCTTCGAACAGGACTCCTTGGAACAGTAATTGAGGGCAAGATCTTCGTTCTTGGTCTGTATGAGGACCGTCTTCGTCAGAAGGTTGAATGGGTCGAGCATGGTCATGAAGTTGCAGAACATCGATACTTCTTTGTGCAGCATATAATTGTGAGCATCATGAAGAACGTACCCAAAATATACGATTGTTCGGCATTTGATGTTTTCGTCAATGATGAACATCTTCCAATAGTTCTGTTAGAGTCGCCATCAGCGTCAACAGCACCTGCCACTTCTGGTGGACCTCCACGTCAACTCGATACTGCGCTTCTAGACTCACTATCAGAGAGATGCATGGAAGTCTTAATGCAAGAGCACCATTTAAGAGTCTATTGTGTTATGATTACAGCACCAAATACTCTCCCAAAAGTTTTGAAGTGTGGGAGAAGGGAGATTGGTAACATGCTTTGTCGTCGAGAGTTTGATCTTGGTAATCTTCCTTGCGTGCATGTCAAATTCGGAGTCGAACGCGCAGTACTCAACCTACCTATTGGCGTGGATCCAATCGGCGGCATATGGTCACCACTGGCTGCGCAAGCTCGTGAAGATATATTATCTCCTGGCGACAAACAATACTCCGGAATTGATCGTCGCGAAGTGGTAATTGATGACCGGACGTCTACACCACTCAATAACTTTTTAAGCATAGTCGACTTATTGCAATGGCGTGTGGCGCGACAAGCTGATGAATTATCCTATTGTACTATAGATGGCCGAGGTAAAGAGGGAAAAGGAATTACTTGGAAGAAATTCGATACGAAAGTGGCTGCTGTAGCTATGTATCTCAAGAATAAGGTCAAGATAAGACACGGTGATCATCTTATACTCATGTATACGCATTCAGAAGATTTCGTTTATGCAACACACGCATGTTTTTGCTTGGGAGCAACAGCAATACCCATGGCGCCTCTTGATCAGAATCGACTGAACGAAGATGCACCGGCATTTTTACATATGGTCTCAGACTACCGTGTGAAGGCAGTTTTGGTTAATCAAGATGTTGATCATCTGATGAAACAAAAGGCAGTTTCTCAACATCTTAAACAATCAGCACAAGTTCTTAAGGTATCGGTACCGAGCATATACAATACTTCAAAGCCACCTAAGCAAAACAGTGGCTGCAGAGATCTTGGCCTTACGATGTTACCAGGTTGGGTTCAGCCAGGGTATCCAGCTCTTGTTTGGACATATTGGACTCCTGATCAACGTAGGATCGCAGTGCAATTAGGTCATGATACCATCATGGGTATGTGCAAAGTACAAAAAGAAACTTGTCAAATGACAAGCTCGAGGCCTGTTCTAGGTTGTGTGAGAAGTACGACTGGTTTAGGTTTCATCCACAGTGTCCTTATGGGTATTTTTGTTGGGGCACCAACTTACCTGGTCTCTCCTGTCGAATTTGCACAAAATCCAGTATCATTGTTCTTAACTCTTTCGCGGTACAAGATCAAAGATACTTATGCTACACCGCAAATGCTTGACCATGCGATGGCCGTTATGCCAGGGAAGGGATTCACCCTCCACGAATTAAAAAACATGATGATTTCTGCCGAGGGAAGACCCCGAGTTGACGTTTTCCAAAAAGTACGCCTCCATTTTGCTGCGACTGGTTTAGACCGCACTGCTATCAATACGGTTTATTCGCACGTTTTGAATCCAATGATAGCATCTCGTTCATATATGTGTATTGAGCCGATTGAATTATGGCTAGACACTCAAGCCTTGCGCAGAGGTATGATCTATCCTGTCGATCCAGAATCTAATCCAAAGGCTCTTTTGGTTCAAGATTCCGGTATGGTGCCTGTATCGACTCAAATAGCTATTGTCAACCCAGAGAGCCGATGTCTTTGTCATGAAGGTGAATACGGTGAAATTTGGGTAGAGTCAGAAGCGTGCGTCAGAGCTTTCTATGGGTCTAAAGATGCTTTTGACTCAGAAAGATTTGATGGACGTACTGTGGATGGTGATCCTAATGTACAGTATGTTCGGACAGGAGATCTAGGCTTTCTACACAATGTTAGCCGACCTATAGGACCAAATGGTGCGCAAGTCGAGATGCAAGTACTATTCGTTCTAGGCAGTGTTGGAGAAACATTCGAAATTAACGGCCTGAGTCATTTCCCTATGGACATCGAGAGTTCTGTGGAGAAATGTCATCGTAACATTGTTCCTGGAGGATCGTAAGTTTTTCCCCGATTGATCTACCAAAGCCTTAGAGACTAACAAAACTTAGTGCCGTATTTCAAGCAGGTGGGCTTATTGTTGTGCTTGTAGAAGTAGGAAGAAAATCCTACCTCGCCTCCATCGTACCCGTCATCGTAAACGCAATTCTTAACGAACATCAAATCGTCGTCGATATAGTTGCTTTTGTCAACAAAGGCGATTTCCCTAGATCTAGACTGGGAGAAAAGCAAAGGGGTAAGATTTTAGCGACTTGGGTCACACGCAAAATGCGTACAATGGCACAATTCGGTATCCGAGATGCCGAAGGGGGTCTTTCGGATGTTACAGAGACAATGGAACCACGAAGTGGTATCCCTAGTGTCCGAAATGGTAGCGTAATCGCCAGCAGTCTCCGTAATGTTGAACCTGCTCCTCAGATTATCGAAGAGCAGGAACGCGAGCGTCAGCGTGCCGTCTCACAACACAGCTTTGCGCCTCTCCCGACTGGCATTTCAGAAATGCCAGCGGATAATTATGATGATCCTTCAATGAGATCATCTCATGAAGTTAATTTCGGCATGAGAACTAATGATGATACACCCCCTGCAAATCCACAACCAAATCATTTCGAGATGTCGGGTCATAATTTTGATGGCGGAAATATCAATTTTGATAGTCCATATTCTGATTTTGTAGTTCCAGGATTTGGACCTAGTGCTGGCCAACCTCCAGTGATTGGTCCAAAACCGGGGATGGATACGGGAATGGATGTAGGTGGACCAAGTGATGGGGGGAATGATCAGTGGAGTTTACCGAGTCAGCAGCAGCAAGGAGGTGCACAGGGAGCAAGTGGATTTGGGGGATTGAGGGTTCATAATATGGATGATGATGATGACTGGAAGAATACTTTAATGCATTATAACCGGGCTAATCAATAGAGTGATTGAGCTGAGGCGTATGTGGATCTATATTGGGGAGGGGGTAGGTAGAGAAGCGCGATACTTAGAGAGAGAGGGGATGAATATAAGGGACTTGACTACCCTTATGGAATTTTTGAGCGATAATATCCTAGACCGGGACTATATATTGCATGGGTTGATAGCATTTGGAAGAGCGAGATCATTGATGGAGCAAAACACTTGGTTCAAGACATAAATAAAAGTCCTATTGTCAGTACGTCTGCACTTGTGAATGTTTGTAAATGAAATGAGATGAGATGGGATACTTATGGATATTTATTTGTTGAGGTAAGATTATGTGTAGACAGACTAGACTCGTCACAGCATGGTTGATACAAGAGTTGTGAATATATTTCGTACCTACAAATGCATAGTGAAACAGCCTGAGAAAGCCTCAAGCTTGCAGGCAATAATCATGATTCTACTTGTAGTCTAGTCGATGATGCCACCATGCATGCCTAACATTTATGCACCAAATAGTTGCAGTAGTGTATTGACGGCGATCCCGATGCCCGACTCTCGGTCTCGAGTTTCCCGAATTGAGATATGGATTGTAGGTTTCAATCCTACAAATATGAATTAGATGGATAAAACAAGAGTCGAAAATCAATATGTGTAGCACAATGCAATGCAATAATAAACATTGTACGGGCTCGGAATTAGTGATTAGGATATCTAACTAATGCACACCCTAAATATCACGTGGAACCTACCGTTACACATCCGTTTATGGAAAGCCTCAACAAGTTCTCTCTCTCGAACAAAGGAACTGTAGCAAACCCCCTCGCTATACTCGTGCTCAAAAGATAGCAAAGTACAAAGAAATTGGAATGCAGCGACGAATCTCGTGCGTGTCCCACCGGTCGAGAGAAGACAAAGAGGATAGGAGAAGTAAGGGAAGAGGGAGGGAAAGGAAAAAAGTTAAAAAGCCGACGAGAAGTTCTGCTTCTTTTCTTGATCACAACATATATACGGAGACTGTTGTTATACTGCTAGACGAAGATACGGCTGCAGCAGTATCGCTATTAATATATTTAGTGCGACTTTTTTTTCCCTCGATTTTTCATTTTCGAGGAAGTCTTGTCACGTATATTTCTTGAGGCGAGATTCACGAACACCGACACATTTGTTGCATTCGAAGATTGATTGACTGATTTGAAAGAAATCGTGATTAAGGGCAACAAAGCAGAGTACAAGAAAATAGGCAAACATGGAACACGAAAGTGGTGCCGGGAAATCTATGCAGGTTATCTTTTTGGTAAGTAGTATTCCTCTTTTGACTGTTCATGCAATGTTTGTATGTTTTCTTTTTGAGTATGCAAAGCGGGAGACTGCATGAAGGGGTAAGGGATCATGGGGTTTCCATTATATGCAGTTGATGCTTATTTCGAATCCCTTTTTTGCGTGATGGATGAATGGTGCCGGTTGAATGGCTTTGTTCAGACGCACCCGCATACATACATATGCTCAAGTTTAGGCATTTACCGATTTGGAGGTACTTTGGTAAGAAGTCACGTGCGACACATCTGCTTTTCTTAAGATATCTTCCGTGGGGAGACGCTCACTCTTTGTTGGATTCGAAGATTCTATTGCTATTATCAAGATCTGTTCCTGAAATCGTTCTTGGCGTTTTTACGATATGAAGCATACCATCTGCTAGAGAAAATGCTAATAATCAATATCAATAGGGAGCCAGCGGAGGCCCTTTAGAAGATGATTGTACCTCATTACTAGTACGTTCAGTATCATTGGGATGGAGTAAAGGGTCCGTTCTTGCTGTAGATGCCGGAGTTCACCTCTCGGCCATCGACCGAATGCTCCAAGACCACAATCCCTCAACAACCGAACGACCATATTTGCTAAAAGAAGGGGCCTTTGCAGGCCTAGAACTTCCATTCAAAACTACCGGGGCAAATGCTGCTCACATAGCACGCAATCTGGTTGGGGCTCATCTCATCACTCATCCGCATCTTGATCATATATCCGGGGGGGTAATAAGTACCGCCAGTCCCAGTTCTAAACCGAGAAAAATTGCGGGATTGGCAAGTACGATTGAGGCTTTGAAAGATCACATCTTTAATGATGTTATTTGGCCGAATTTGTCAGATGAGAATGGTGGTGTGGGATTGGTAACTTTCATGAGGTTGATTTCGGGGGGCTCGTCGGTATTGGGAGATGGGCCTACGAAAGGCTATATGGAAGTTGTAGATGGACTGGCCGTTAAGTCTTGGGCTGTTAGTCATGGGCCTTGCATTGGAAGCTTCCCTTGTATGTATTCCCCATTTTACTTTTTGAGAATATTGAATGGCGGATCGGATGTTAGTTTTGTTGAACTACGTAATTGTCTCCATCAATTTCTTTTTGCTTTCCGTTTCCACAATATACTAAAAAATACTTCATTTCCAGATCAATCAGGAAGCAACTACATGAACGAAAGCGGCAGTCCTCGTACCCCAATCCAAAAATCCAGCAGCCACTCCCACCGCAGCCACTACTCCCCGATCACCATACCCCACGGTTCATCAGAAGGTCTCAGTTTTTCCCCCGCCGAGGCTGCCCGCGCGTACACCAGTTCTGCCTGCTTCATCCACGATATCACCTCTGGTAATGAGATTCTAGTTTGGGGAGACGTAGAACCCGATTCACTTTCTCTCTTCCCACGCAATAAACAAGTATGGCAAGACGCCGCCCCCAAAATCGCGGCTGGAATCCTCAAGGGTATCTTTATCGAGTGTTCGTATGACGACAGTAGACCGGATGATTTATTATTCGGACATCTAACACCGCGCTACGTCGTTGAAGAATTAAAGTTTCTCGCCACCGAAACGGAAAAATGTCGCGAGGACCTGCGGAGACGTGGGAGCGATCGTGCTTTGAGCAGTTCTTCTCCGACAGGTAATTTGGATATGCTGAAGAAATCGATCACGACACGGGAGAAGGATAAGAAATCACACCCGCCTCTAGCTACTTCGGCTAATTACATTTCTTCACACCGGAGAGCCTTCGGTTCAGGTGTCTTGAAGGGGGTCAAGATTATACTTATTCATGTGAAGGATAAGCTGGATGATAAAGAGGATCCGAGGGTGAACATATCGAAGGAGTTACGGGAATATGAAGAGGAGCTTAACTTTGGGTGTGAGTTTGTGGTTAGCGAGAAGGGGATGAGTGTTTTGCTATAGTGCGCGCTTGGTTTTGGACTGTTGTTCTAGGGACTGAATGAGGCTGGGCGTTTGAGGGCTGGACGGTTGCTTGCTTGCTTGCTTCAAGTATGAATTTTTTGTCTGGTGGGAAGGTAGTACCCTTGTTTATCTTGGTCGGAGGCTGTTTATGGAAGAAAATTTCATTGAAGGACGGTGGATCGCTTAAATTTCTTGCAAGTCTCAAGACAAGGTATATAGGTGTAAAGGGTTTGCAACAGAGTATGTGTTTGCAACTTGCGCAGCGTGGTTTCTATATACAATCGGTTCGATATATAACTACATGGTTTCTTACTTGATATTCTATTCTTCTCTCATGAACCACCAACAGTTTGTAACCCCATTCTTTCAGCATCCATGTATAAGCGAATCATTGGTCTTCAAGCTTAGGCTTCACCAATTTCTTCGCCTCCTCATCTTTTCCAACCGCAGTATCGTAATCCGGTCTTGGAATTTCTGTTCCATCTACAGTCCTTCCATAAGTAATCCCTCCCAATCTCGAGATTGGTTTTAGGACTGCGGGATCAACAATATTCTTCTCTTCATTAATGGCATTTTCCCTGACCCAGAATCTTGTTCCCTCTATGATTGCCAAAACTCCTGTTTTTTTACCTGGCGTCGCTTTGCTCTCGAATTCTTTCAAACTCTCTAGTTTTCCCTCGACACTGAAATGTGATTCTAGCACTCTACTCGTCTTGACAGTTGTACAAGGAGCGGGTGTAAGTCCACTAAACGCCCATTCTGATTCGCCATACGGTGCATTAATCGAAGTCGAGTTTGCCGCTTCGATGAAATGTTCAGAGATGATATTGATGGTGCATTCACCCGTCTCCTTGAGATTCCTCAACGAATCTTTCGCATTATCCAATCCTCCCGTATACCCCAATGTGAAAAGTGGGGGATCGTGATTAATCATGTTGAAGTAACTGAACGGAGCCAGATTTGTCGATTTTCCGTCCGCGCTGCGAGTACTGACAAATCCAATGGGCCGCGGAATGATGGAGGAAATCATCAACTTGTAGTTGTAGACTGCGGGACGACCTTCTTCATAGGGGTCGATTTCGATATGTGGAACCTTGAGAGATTCGCCGTTGTCGTTGGCGCCGGAACCGAGTTTCCAGGAGGGAGAAATTGTCTGCGTTACATTCCAAGATCGGGACGCGTCCCATGGTGAACGAGATGCTTCAACGGCTTTGAAATCACGATGCGGGTTGCGGTTTATGAGCTTTTCGGCGTCGGCACGTTGTTGGGTTGTGGAGGACATGGTTGCTGAAGGATGGAGATTGGAGATGGAGATGGGTTTTGTGGTTGAGAAGCAGTGATTGGGGTTTAATTGCAGCGAGGGACTTGTTGATGTGAGTTACAATTAGTAAGTGAACTAAATAGCGGGGAGGTACTACAGAGAACGCAGTCGAAAGTGGATGGATATCTGCATACGTACCGGATTGAAGTTTTAAAGACTTGCCTGATCCTCAATCTTCTAAGTGACATTGATGATGGGTAATGAATCTAATACGAGGGAAACACAAAATATGTATCTTCAATGCAAACTTGGAGAATTTCCGGTATGCGTTTTGTAAAACCGATGCAAATAATTGACGTGACTGTTGTTCCGCCACCATACTTCGTCACAGCGGCTTTCGTTCCTCTTTGAGAAGCTGTGGAGATTTAGCTGATAAGGTTGATGACCCCGCAATGATAAGAGGAGGGAGGAACAGAGGGAGGAACAGAGGGAGAAGCTCGGGAAGCTATGAAGCGGGAAAGGAAGGAATGTATCAGCAAGGTTAGAATCGGTCGAATATTTACTATTGATAGATGGGGTAATCTAGTTACATAAAGTCCATTATGAAGAGAATGAGTTAATCTTCAATTTATCTATTCTTGAAGCTATTCAGAGAACGACAGTAAGGTTAAACTCCGAACATTTGAAATCATAGTCAATTGGTCAGCAGTACTCTCAATTCCTGACAAATACAAATTGGCTTTGTATCTGTCGATATACCTATCTACTTATCTACTCGTCGGCTATCACAAGTATATCTGAGAGCTACTTAAAAGCTGATAATCATTAAAGGCAAAGAAAAACATCCACAGCCAAGCAAACACAGTAGACAACACAAGAAGCTTTTATAAAATGGACTCTCTACCTTCTCAACTCTCTTCCCTCAAATTAGCACCCGGTGTCCAAAGATACTCTCTTGGAGATTGGAAGCTTCAATCTGGCCAAGAAATTCCTGATGCTCATATTGCATTCAAGACATTTGGAGACCCAAGTTCCCCTGCTATCATCTATCCTTCTTGGTTTTCTGGAGGTGAGTGTTGAAACTGGTGCTATCTACGTATATCTCTACATGATAGTACCTTTGGAGTTTAGAGTCATGTTAAGAGGGAAAATATACAAAGCAACCTAATACTGAAAATAAATAGCAATCGCGGACAACGAATGGCTCATCGGAGAAGACCAAGTATTGAATCCCAAAAAATACTTCATAATCATCACCGCACTTTTCGGAAATGGAGAATCAACCGTGAGTTTCCCTTCCCTACTCTCCATCCCTACTCCTCATCATCCTCAATACTCACACGAAGATAGTCTCCATCCAATTCCTCCATCTCTCCTTTCCCAAAAGTAACCTTCTATGACAACGTCCGCGCTCAACATACCCTCGTGACTTCCCATCTCCAAATCACCCATGCACGCGCTGTGATCGGGTGGTCTATGGGCGCAGGTCAAACTTATCAATGGGCCACCATGTATCCCTCCTTCATGGACATTTGCATTCCTTTTTGCGGATCTGCAAAAACAGCTCTTCACAATCAGGTCTTTTTAGAAGGTGTGAAATCTGCATTGTTAGCTGCCAAGAGTCTATCGAGCGCAGGATCCAAGGAAGGTGTTGCTGTGAAAGGAGAGGGAGGAGATGGAGTGAGAGTTTGGAGTCAAGAGGAAAGGGAGGTGGGATTGAAGGCTTTTGGGAGGGGTTATGCTGGTTGGGGATTTAGTCAGGTGAGTTAATATTGGTAATGTAGCGGATGGAATTACAGTGTCATTTGACTGTAAGAGCATACTAATGCTATTGTAGGCTTTTTACAGAGAGGAACTCTTCAAGACCGTTCTGGGATTCAAAGATCTAGAAGATTTCATGCAAAATTTCTGGGAGAAATGGGCCCTTTCAAAAGGTACTTTCTATTGATCTTCTTTCTTGTCCCTCCCTCTCACTACTTCCCCTTCCCACCCAATTCGTCAACCCCCACCACCTCTTCCAATCTAACAATTTCCCCAAAAACCAGATCCAGAAAACCTCCTCACAATGCTCCACACCTGGGCCTCGGGCGACGTCTCCAACCAGTCTCCTTACAATGGCGATTTCGCCGCTGCAATAGGAGCTATCAAAGCCCAGATGCTTGTTCTACCCGGAAAAACTGATCTCTATTTCCCGTATGCACATTCTCTTTAGTTTGTTTTCTTGTCTTGTCTTTCCCCCCTTCCTCGATCTACTCTCCTCCCTTCTCCTCCACCAACAAACCGCACTAACACCCCCTAGACCCGAGGACTCCGAAATAGAAGTCTCCCTCATGCGCCCCGGTATCGGCAAACTCGATGTTTTCCCTAGTATATGGGGACATTGGGCCGGAGGGCCAGGTGATTCAAAGGAAGATGTTAAGTGGCTCAATGAGAGGTTGGTTGAGATTGGTTTGTGAATTTTGTTCTCCTTTGGGAGGGTATAGGGAGGGTGGATTTATCTACTTATGAGGGATTGGGGGGAATCGGGAATGGAGGTCAGTGGTTTAGCGGAGCAAGCGGTGTGAAATTTAGCATGGCAATGGATTTTCGCTTGATGTTTAATGTTGAATGGATGTGATTGGCGAGGATTGAATGTTATCATCATGACAAGTTTCTATGCTGAATGATCAGTATATGTACCTATGTATGAGTATATGTGTGTTTGAAATTTCGCGACTATGTACTGTTTACCATATTTCCTAGATTGTAGAACCGAGTACCGAGTACCGGACACCAGAAGCCCTCAGCTCATCCATCCTGGAAATGCTATTCCAGATTTATCCATCCATCCAACCACCCATCCCACCCCCTCTCTCCTCTTAAACTTTCACACTTCACACATTTGCTAAAACATCTCCATTTCTATCCCCTACCACCGGTACAACAACTGGCTTCTCACTGTCCACACTAACCCTAGCACCCTCCCCCGCAATCTTACTCGCCATACCCAACACGCTCTTCGCACCCCCACCGCCAACACCGCCCCTTTGACTGCCACTCGCACTCCCCATACTGCTTCCCCTCTTCCTCCCCGCTCCCTTCAAGTTTCCCGTCAACTCTTCTCTCACCTCCCTCAAAACTTCCTCTCCGTGTATTCCCAATCTCCCCATCCTTCCGACTAATAGTGTATTTTCTCTCTGTACACTGCCCACCTGGTCTCTCAAAACCTCTCTCTCCCTCTTCAATACTTCAATCTCCGCCCTTAAACTAGCATTAATCTGTTGCAACTCCTCTCCCTTTTCCTTTTCCTCTCTCTTCTTCTTTTTCTCCTCTTGCTTCTGTTCCTCCCTCAATCTTCTCCTCTCCAATTTCTCCATTTCCTTCTTATGTTTCTCTTCTATCTTTTTGACCTCTTTTTCATGTTTCTCTTCCGCTCTACGAATTGCTTCTTTCTCTTTCTCACCATCTTCACTTTTCTTATCCGCTTCTTTTTGTTTCGCTTTCTCTAATTTCTCGTAAAGTTTTCGTTTCTTATCCTCGAGTTTCTGGAGCTCTTTATCCTGTTGTAAATTTACCTTTTCGACGGCAGCTGAATCCTGTGATGATACCTTTCGGAATGATAGAGCTGATTCAAAAGTATCAACTGTGGATTCGCTAGAAATGGATGAGGTGGATAATGATCGAGAGCGAGTAATAGGAGCGGAAGTTTGAGCAGAAGAGTGGTCACTAGCAAGTTGTAGAGGCCCAGGGTTTTGGGCTGAGGGAGATTCGGTGGCATGAGGTAGACGATCCGCAATCATCGCTGGTGCATACGGAGCGATCAAAGCTCCGGCTGTAGTTGCTACTCCTGCTACCATGTCGTATATTCCACCCCCATTTGCGGGTGGCTGCTGTTGTGTTGGCACCGCAGACCTTGCTGAACCAGCAGCCACAGGTGTAGACTCTTCTCCTTGGCTATCTATACCCGCAAGATGACC